TCTAGGGAATCATAGAGATTTAAAATATGAATTTATCCGACTTTCAACATTAAATACAGACGCAATACAATTAAAATGGTTCCTTTGTTGGTGTATATGTAGTCATCATATAATTGCATCGCATGACAAATCACCACTAGCAAGCAAGTATTTTATCAATAAATATTTGTTTAAAGAATTTACAAATGTGAATAATTATTCATTAAGGGCACATCGACTATTCAAGTAATTTCTATTCATTTGTGACTGCAGTTTGTGGATCTACTTTCGTTTTAGCTTACTAGGAATGAAAATAACCTTAAAATTAATAAAATCTATCAACAAATTGATGACGGGAAAAATTGTTATCAACGATCGGTTTGAAAATCTGTTGGCTTCAAAGCATTACGCTTGTTTTGTAGAATAAGAACAACGCGACGACGTAGAGTACAATATTATTGCCTCATTATTGCCATTAAAAATTCAGTCATGTGAGAAGGGTGTGAATACTGAGGCGGCGGCACGGAATTGTATATGGAGGGGTGAGATCTGGTCACCAGGGCCAAGCTCTCCCTCAACAATTTTGAAATCTACATCCACGGAAATGATATTTCATGCATTTTATTCGAAGAGGCGACCGCCCCTTCTGCCCCCACTGTGTCGCCGGCACTGAATACTAACCGTTCGCTCTTCCGCGAGTCGCTTAAATATGGGAGGTCCTTTTCGCTTCGCTGCGACTAACTCCGGAATGAATCACTTCGTATATACTGATCACATTGTGTATATACTGATCACATTGGGTTTTTGAGCAAACTCGCGGCCTTATTTTGACGTGAGTAAAATAGCTTGAACAACGTCATGTTGCCAGCCAAACGAGAATTTTCAAACGAGCATCTCGCAAGGGTATTTCGTGGAAATCCGTGTCTTTCAAACATACGATCATGATAGTGTTGCGCATGCCCGGAGTTCGATTTAAGCAATTGGACAATCTGTTATATATATGCAGTGTAGTGTAGTTTAATAATTTCTGAATTGTGCCAATTCATAATAGCATAGACTTAGTCTAGAATGAGTAACTCGACCTCAAAAATCACACTGAGACGTCAAAAAAAATACTTACTTTGCAAAGAGAAAAAAGAAGTTAACTTGAACAACGTCGCACCAGCATCAAAATGTCTTGTTATACCGAGATAATCTAGTATTAAAATAAAAGTAAAACGGGAAATTCCAGAGAAACTCAACAAGGGTTTTTTTCCCGGTTGATTCGGGACTTTCCAACTTATGGTGATAATGCGCATGCCCAGGGTCCGAGATGCGCAGCTGACCATCGATTATAGTATGTATACGCAGCGAATAATGCATTTTTAATAATGTTTGAAATGTGCTGAGTCATCATTGCGTAGAAATAGTCTAGAATGAGTGATTCATTTTCCCCCAAATCACTCGCACACTAAAAAGTCAAACACACATACATGTATTTTGAAAAAAAAAAAACTTACCTCATTTCGAAAAGAGTAAAAAAAAAACTTTATAAACGCTGTACCCGCATCCTAATACCCCATGATACCCAGCTAATATAGTATCAAAATAAAAGTGAAACGGGAATTTCCTAAGAAACTCAACAAGGGACTTTCCGGTTAATCTGGGGCTTTCACACACCCTGCAAATGTATGTCGTATGTAATAGTACTATACACAGTGGGAGTGCGAATTCGCGGCTGACCAGACGATTCAGTTACATTGAATGATTTTATTTATGTACGCAACACATTTGAATGTCTTTGACTGCAATGATAGGTGTATTACGTGTTGTACTTTACACCCTTAGTCTATCCACTTAAATAGCTTGACAGTATAACCATTTAGTCAATTTAACTGCTGGTTAGGAGAGGCAGAGCATCGTTGATTATGGGAGTCGTATAACGTCGAAAAATTCCCATTTTCTAATTTACCGTCCTGCATTATTTTCATGGGGTTTGAGGTGTTTGCCGGTCACGTGCTTTGTAAATGCAGCAAGGAACACGTTGTCAATGGCAATAGTTTTCTAGTTAAAATATAAAGCCCAAAAATCGATATTTCTATTTCTTTACGATTTTCCAACGATCGAAGCCATAAAGTGAAAACAACCAGACATTTCCAGTGAAACTCAACAGGGGACTTTCCGCTACACTGTCTTTGTATATATACGCAAGTATGCAATATGTAATTTACTGCGCATACTCAGAGTGCTAGACGCGCAGCTGTTCACACAAGTCAGTTGAACTATTAATATACCCGACAAGAAGTGCCTTTCAATAGTGATTTGTTCTCCTGCGGTTTGTGTACTAATGCTTCATAAGGCGCCGAGGGGTAATTTATGTTCAGACAAATTACATGTAAATTACATTCAAGTCATGACCACATTTCACTCCGTGAGTCTGAATTGCTTCTTGTGGAAAACGATAACAAATAATAAATTCACTTGTCCAATGCC